TCATGATTATGAGGGATATCTTTTTAAATTTGCTTGCTTTTGAGTATCATAATTGTAATTGTATAAAAATTATGTTTTTGGCTGGGGATGTGGCTCAAGCGGTGGTGCGCCCGTCTGGCATGCGTGCGGCCCAGGTTCGATCCTTAGCACCACATACCAACAAAGATGTTGTGTCCGCTGAGAACTAAAAAATAAATATTAAAAAAAAAATTATGTTTTATATACAATTATATGTATTTAAACACTTGAAACACAGAAAATGTCATGTAGCCAGTTGTAGTGGTAGATATTTTAAAAAAGTATTAATTACAAAATGATGGCTATTAATAGTATGTGTGATTATATATTTATAAACAATGTCCTTAAGCACAGCAAACCATAATCATATGTATACTATACTTTAAATTATCTGTACTTTTATGACTACACCTCTACATTTTGGGTAAAGTTTGACCTTGGACAAAATTTACTCAGCCTAGAGAGCTGGGAGAATAGTTAAAAACTTTCTGGTATTGCCAAATGCTTTCATATGTTTCTGCTCTCATGGAAAATGAGTTTTTATTTCTTTTCAGCCTACATGTGTGGTAAAGCCAAAATGAAAAACAAAGCTAGCAACTTCCAACCAGTTCTAGTTGAGTTTGGTATTCATATATTGCTTTGATCTGCTCTAGACCTTTAAAATAGTTCATTTTCTAGGGTAGGGAAAACTAGTTTCACTACCACGTGTTATCAAACAGTAATGAGGAAGAAAAGGGACTTGAGTTAAATTTAGGATATAAAATTAGGATAAAATTAGTTGATTTTACTTCTATTTCTGAATTAGAGTGTAGAGTAATTTCACTTTGTTCTTCTTGTTGTTATTGTTGTTTGGTGTTTGTTTCTTTTCAAAACTTTTACAAGCTCTAATCACAGACAAAACTGTGCTCCCTCAAATAGACACAATCTTCCCTCATTGATACTTCTCAACATCTATGTAGTTCAAACTTCTTGGAAATTTTCCACCCTCGGTCAATTCCCAATATCTTTTCTTCATCCCACCACTGAGCAGGCCCTTTTTAGACCACTGGCTTGTATAAATCTAAGTTTGCTAGTGTGAAGAAGCTACCATTTTGTTGACTTACTCTAATCACAGTATTTTGCAATAATGTCCATCTCCAAACTACTTTAGGTTCTTTAATTGGTTTCCTAAACTACTATTATTCATGTTCTGTTTTGACAAATACCTGATTACTTCCCTTTAAATAAAGATAGTTGGAGGGTAAATAAATTTAAAAATTAGCATACTATCTATATCAGAAATACATAAGCCCATTGAATAAAATAATCTTTAGTTTCTTCAAGTTGCTTAAATTAAAAACACGAGTTTCTACAGTTGGAAAAAACATGTATGGTTAAAATGCTTGAAGCCCATCAATCTCTCTAACCACATAAGCTAATGAGTTCCTTCTGTTTTCTTTGAATGAAATCACCATGAGTGGTTAGATGTTGATTTAACATAAAACAAATGGAAATGGGTGTTTCCTTTGTCCTTTGTAGATTTATTTTTAAAAACAATTAGCAAGTATTATGAATAAGTCAATGATTTTGCCATTACTTAAATAATAATTTAGATTGAGTAGTTAAATTGATTGGATTGTAGGGAATGCAGAACATATTCTAATTCTTCTTAACTTGCTCACATCTGCAGATATTATTAAGCTTCTTGTTTTTTTTTTTTCCCTTACCATAACACCTGTATTGTTATAAATTATGTTTTGAATTGTCATGAAGTGTCAGGTAAACTATGTTTTGGGGATGTGGACATACTCTGTGGTATGTCATTTAGGTGTTCCTTTGTAATGGCAGATTTGTGGCTAACAGCTTAATTTTGAATGTATCAAAATAATTGAATGCTTTCTTTCAATTTTTCTTTATGGATATACAAAGAAATTTGAAATGTATTATGTATAGATAGAAAAAAAAAGAATTAAAATTGATTCATTCTTAAAACACCTTGAAGAAAGAATAATTTTGGACATAATTTTTAAAAAGCAGCAAATTATTATATTCTTAGGAAAAAAGTGTTGAACCCTTTGAACTCTTTAGAATTCATATCTAACTGCATTAAGAATGCAATTTGCATAGGGATTTTTCCACTCCCTATAGTTTTAACTGTCTTCTGATAAGTTCTTTCCCCTTCTAAGTCTCCTTTTTTTGTGACTGTTGTCTGTTTAGGAACATAGTGGGAAGTGACTCATTTTATGTTCTGAACATCAAAGAATGTCAGACCTATGAAATGTAGACAGTGGGTTCTTAGATTCTTTCTGGGAGAGTTAAATAAATAAGTAAATGAGCCAACATATGGGCAGCTTAATTCAGGCAAAAATGTCTATTGATTACTTACTAGGCTCACTAATAAAAACTTCAGCCTAAGTTTTGCTTTCCAAAAGGAAATAGGATTAGATTGATCTATGCACTCATTGGGGCTCCTTGTGAATTATGCCCAGATGATGTTCAAGATGAACAAAAGAAAGGGGCAACATTTTTTTTGAATAATCAAATTATTAGTCTGACATACTATGTTTTATAATTCCAAATAAATTAATTATAAGTGCTAAAGGGGACTGCGATATAAATAACATCTGAGATCTATGAATTCCAATTCTGCCTTCTTTTCAACTAAGTAGTCTGATTCAATATTGCAAGGTAGATTTGTTGTATTTTGAATTTTGCCATATGTAAAAACTTAGGTACATTATAAGGTTTTACACCAGGTCTTCATAAATGTACTTTTTTTTTTTTCTTTTCCCAGACTAGTTTGAATGGTGTCTGGTAATATTTAAATTATGTTATCTAAGAAATTCCAAACTGAAGTGTGCCTGTAGTTTAAAGAACAAATGCTCCCAATTGCTCCTTTTATTTTTTAAAATGGTGAAATGTTAAAATACCAAGATCAAATAGAAGAAACTGAATTAGCCAAGATATTTGTTTTAATCTGAGAATTATAATGCATTGACTAAAAGAGCAAGTTCCAGTTATTTGGACACATGTACATTTAACTTATGATTTTATGCAAGTCAAGAACAAACCTGACCAATTGTTGGATTAACTTCTGTACTAAAAATATCTGGCTTTGTGACAAAATGCTGATAGGTATTTAGAATCATTGTGTCTTTTGAACAATCTACTGTTGACATTTTAATAACATTGTTTGGAATGATTTCTCAAGAATGATGACTGCAACATACCCACAGAAACAAAAAGTACATATTGTTTCTGAAAGCAAAGAAGATCAAGTTTCATCCTTTTTCTAGAGGTTTTAAATCTTGGAAAATCAGTTTTTTTTTTCCTGAAAACTAAAGCAAATGGCTTCATTCATTAGTAGAATCAGTGTTTTATGAATAAACCTGAAAACTTGTTTTCAGCTCAGAGATTTTGAAATTAAAAAAAAATTCCAGATTTGATTTTCTTCGTATGTATAACACAATTAACTGGGTTTTATATATTTTTTTCCAATGTGATTTTTCTTGTAGTGGTCTGTTCCCTTCAGTTTGGGTCTTGCTCTGCCTGGCTGTCCGCTGACACTGCCAACAGAGAGGGGCAAGGAAGTGTGGTCAGAGGACAAGAGCAAAAGCAGTTTCAATGTAAGGAAATGAGGGAAACAGACCTAACAGCACTATGAATATACTTGGAGTAAAGAGCCTTATAGTCTCCTTTCCTTCCGTTGCTTATCCTGGTGAGTTTAATCAAAAACAAACAAAACGCTCTTGTGAAATATAGTCAATAAAGTCAAAGTTTAGCTACCTCAATGTAACTACAAAGAAAAAGTCATCGCAATTTAAAAAAATGTAACTTTCATTAACGAGCGCGCCGGAAATCTCAGGTATCAAAGACGCATTAACCCTGGAGCGTCCCCTGCGCGCCGCAGCCGGACGGAGGCAGCCGCGGCGAACAGACGTTCTTTCTCCTCCGAGCAGTCACACAAAAGGAGGGCTGCGGAAACTAAAAGTTTAAGGGCCTCCGGCTTGGTGCGTGGAGAAAAGAGAAAACCTGGAGACGGGGTGGGTAAAAGACGCATCCTGGGCGCCTTTCCCGAAGTCTAGGCAAGGAGAAAGCTCCTGGGCCTGGAAGGAAGAGGGGAGGGGGACCCCGAGCCGCTGGCCAGCCCCCTGCGCTCAGCCTCCGAGGCTGGAGCGCTGCGCTCCGCCGCACTCTTCTGAATACCCTTCACCCAGTTCCAGAAATAAAATAAATGTTTTTAAAGTGCGTGTGTGTGGACAGGATGGAGAGCGTGCGCCGACAGAGCGCGCGGAGGACCAGGCGCGCAGTAAGTGGAGTTTGGGGGGGCGGGGTGGGGCGTCTAGAGGTTGACTGGGTGCGTTGATGGGGCGGCGGGGGGAGGCTGGATGCGGAGCCCCGAGACCTGCGGCTGGGGGG